ATCTACATACTCAACCGGTCCCCGACAAAGGCGGTTCTAGATAAAACACCGTACGAAGCTTGGCATGAAAAGAAGCCAACGGTGGATCACTTGAGAGTTTTTGGCTGCATTGCCTACTCTCATATCTCAACTCCAAACCGAGATAAATACAATGAAAAAGGTGAAAATTTAATTCTTGTTGGCTACAGCGATGAGTCAAAGGGTTATCGTCTTTATAACCCCGAAACTAAAAAACTCATCGTGTCAAGAGATGTGATTTTTGACGAAATGGCCAAATGGAATAAAGAGGACAATTCTTCACCAAACTTGGTGTCAAATGATTCCTTGGAGTCATCTTTTGTACCGGAAGGGCAGCAACAAAATGGAAATGAAACTCCATTAACAAGTCCTCAAGGAACACCTCAAAGAACACCTGAAAGAAGTTCCTCAAGTTCTTCGAGTTCGGATTCCGAATCTCCTCCAATAAAGGTACGATTTTTAAAAGATATTTATGAGCAATGTGATATTGCTTTCTTTGGTTGTGAACCTCAGAATTTTGAAGAAGCATCAAAAGAAGAAGTTTGGAGAAAAGCCATGGAAGCCGAAATTGAAACAATTAAAAAAAATAAAACTTGGGAGCTTGTGGATTTGCCACAAGGCAAAGATGTAATCGGCTTAAAGTGGGTGTTCAAAACCAAACTCAATGAAGACGGTTCTATCCAAAAACACAAGGCGAGATTAGTTGCAAAAGGCTATTCGCAGCAGCCCGGGATAGACTTCAATGAGACTTTTGCACCGGTAGCACGAATGGAGACAATTCGGTGTGCTCTTGCAATCGGAGCTCAATTGGGGCTGAATGTCTATCAATTGGATGTCAATTCCGCATTCCTTAATGGAGAGCTTAAAGAAGAAGTCTATGTTCATCAACCTCAAGGCTTTGAAGTTGCTGAAAAGGAGGAAAAAGTCTATCGTTTGAAGAAAGCTCTCTACGGATTAAAACAAGCACCACGAGCTTGGAATAGCAAAATCGATGGCTATTTTTGCAAGAATGGATTTCAAAAAAGTCCAAGTGAGCCCTCACTCTATGTAAAAAAGGAAGGTACTCAAGATTTTTTGATCATTTGTCTTTACGTTGATGATCTTATTTATCTTGGTACTAACGTGAAAATGGTGAAAGAATTCAAGAAAAATATGATGCAAGAATTTGAGATGTCCGATTTGGGACTCATGAAATATTTTCTTCGAATTCAAGTAAAACAATCCGAGGGAGAGATTTTTATCTCTCAAGAAAAATACGTTGATGATTTGTTAAAAAAGTTCAAGATGGAAAATTGCAAACCCGTGGCAACACCTTTGGCGGTGAATGAGAAGTTGCGACAAGACGATGGCGCTGAAAAAATTGATTCAAAAATATATCGAAGTCTTGTTGGTTCGCTTATCTATCTCACAAACACAAGACCCGACATAGTGCACTCCGTTAGCTATGTTTCGCGGTACATGAGTGAGCCAAGCAAGCTTCATTTTGCAGCGGCAAAGAGGATCCTTCGATACCTTCAAGGAACAAAGAAGCAAGGGTTGAAGTACGAAAAAGAAGAAAATAATGCCTTGATCGGTTTCACGGATAGTGATTGGGCAGGTTGCTTGGATGATCGAAAAAGCACTTCGGGCTATGTTTTCTCTCTTGGTTCGAAGGTGATTGCATGGAGTTCTAAGAAGCAAAAGACGGTTGCTTTATCTTCAAGCGAAGCCGAGTATATTGCCGCGGCGGATGCCGCTTGTGAAGCCGTTTGGCTTAGGAGAATTCTTTCGGATTTGCAAGAAAAGCAAGTGCAAGCTACAACTATCTTTTGTGATAACATGTCCACAATTGCAATGACTAAAAATCCAGTCTTTCATGCAAGGTCCAAGCATATCGAGCTTCGACATCACTTCATACGTGATCTTGTTGAAGAAGAAGAAATCTCAATGAGATTTGTTAACACCAATGATCAAGCAGCTGATTTTCTTACCAAAGCCGTGACAATCGAGAAGTTTGAAAAGTTCAAGAAGAAGCTGAAAATTATGAATTAAGAGGGGGTGTTGAAAATAGTAATTCATATTTTCAATAAAGAAGTTGGAACATCTTTCAAAGATGAAGACTTGACTTGTAGAAGTCAAGAAGGTTTCTTGTAATTTGTTAAGTCTTTTACATTTCCTAAGAACTTGGGACTTGGAATGGAGTGTCTCTTTGTATCCATTCCTACCTATAAATTGTACCCAAGATGAGATTTGTAAGCAATCAAGAAAGCAATAATAACAACTAAAAACTAAAAATTTCCAGCACTAAAAACCTCTCTTGTTCTTAAGTAATATCATTGTTCTTCACTTAGTAAAAATCTCTACGCCAAATCTTGGTGTTCTTTCTTAACACCACACTTCCGCATATTAAAAACCCCAACAAATACTCACTAAGCACACCTACACATGCATGTATAATTATGTATAGATCTACTGTTCAAATCCACCCAGTATAAATAAACAGGAATAACATCTAAATTCACCTCATTTTCGGTTAAAAAAAACCACTTTCACACCTAATGTTTCGGATAATGAATTTTAAACTAATCATATATCCACGTATGCTAGCGGATCAAATTGTTTCGCCATTCCTATATATAAATATTATTACATGCATTACTCGAGCTTTATTTTTTTTTATCCATCATTCCGCCAAATTAGGATATGGACATGTGAAAATTCAACTATGTATACGTCCAGATAATTAAAATAGTACACGAGGCATTATGTAAGAAAAGAATATATAGTTGATAGTTGAAAATACACTTATCGGGGAAAATAAATTCAGACAAATATATATATATATATATATATATATATATATATATATATATATATATATATATATATATATATATATATATATATATCACTTATTGCTAGAATTGAGAATTTTGATTTTTGATGTTCGATACAATTTGTCTCCTTAGACAACTCGCAAACTGTTAGCAAGAATCGAGGATGAAGCAGGTCAAAAGCAAACATGCCTTGACAATTTGTTGGGGTGATTCACTTGATAAAGAAATCTGGAGGATTCTCCCAAAGTTGGCTGAGCATATAAAATCCAAATATGAACAGCGTCGGCAGAATATGGTCTCAAATTATACCTTAAGAACGGTGAGAGAGAGAGAGAGGTATAACTCTGGGATGACTAAACATAAATGTTAATCAATAATTAGTTATTATTTTATGTTAATTATTGCTATGTAATCAAATTTGGTTATTAATTGTTAATTTATAATTAAGTTTTACTTTACTTTTAAGAGTTTTTATGTAATTTCATTTCTAATGTGGGTGTACATTTTTTCCCTAGGTTCGTACTAATCCCCTAAGTGGCGCAATTCTATTGAAATATTATGATTCGAGAAGTACAACCCTCTCGAATCCTAGACAATCCCATGGAAGCTTCATAAAAATAGAATCTATCTTTTTTGTTATTTAAGTTCCGTAACGTTAGTGGAACTGCAAGGCATTACAGTAGAACCTCGATAAATTACTAACCTCACTTAAATAATATTTTTTCCCGGTCCCGACTCGGGGACAACGTGCTAAATCAATAATTCACCAAAATTTATAAGATAATACACATTCAAAAATTTTAAGAAGCCCCTTATAAATACATAAAAATAATTCTTAAATTGCATGTTACAATACATATTTTATAGATCTATGAATGCTTAATAAAATAAGACTTAATTGTGGCTTGTTTCTTGTTGAAATTAACATCACCATCAATCTCGTCCCTCATTTTTCTTAACGTGGTTAGGGCTTCTGATATAGTTTTCTCATAACAAAACATAAAATTGTTCGATACCATTGTTGCTTTAAGAGCTCTCGTTCGAGAAATGGGCTCTATAGTACATTGAACTAATGGTACAATGAATAATATGTACGTAAAAAAATTAAAAAAATTATATTTGTCGAAAATAATAATAAAATAATTTCATAAATTAATAAATTATTAATGAGTGCATAAATTAATAATTATTAATTTATCGATAAGTTCATATTTCACTAAATTAATAGGATTTTAATGGTCCCCACTGAATTAATTTATACAAGTTTAACAATTAGCTAATTTCTCCTTGCTTAAAACTATTATTTCATGTCATGGAGTCGGCACATTAATAATCGAGTCATTTAAATAATTAATTAATTTATTAATTGTAGTTTATTTGACATTTAACTAGTCATCTACTTCTTGAGTTTACCTATTGCTATTCGAAAACTGAGCTTTTATATTAGTTTTTTGAAAAATAACTTACAAGTCAGCCTTAGAACAATCAACAATATACAATACAATTCTATTAACATTGTATAGTATAAATAATATCAAAAAAAAAAAAAAAAAAAATTAGGTTAAAATTGAAAAATAAATAATGGCATTATTATTCCAATTTAATCTCAGCACACTTTTCTTTCTTCTAATAATATCAAAAAATTTCCCTTCACAAACCATTGTACCGTACAAGATTCAGATCATATCAGAGACGAATACGCCGATAACGATTCGTTGTTTCTCGGCAGACAAAGATAAAGGCACGAGTACGATGTTGTCATTAGGTTCGGGCTCGAGTACATCGCCACGTGTGACGTTACCGATCATAGTACTCGGAGTGGTCGGTTTAATGTTTTCGAGTATTTGAGAGACACCATTCGATCCGCTCAAGGCTTCACATGCGTATGGCACGTGAGGCCTGATGGAATCTGCAATAATCTGCTCTACTTGACTTATAAGTGGTGATATATATATATATATATATATATATATATATATATATATATATATATATATATATATATATATATATATATATATATATATATATATATATATATATATATATATATATCACGTATTATTATAATTGCTAATTAAGAAAACGAATAATGTTTTTTGTGATGGTGAATTAGTGGTTGATTGTTTAAAAAAATAAAATAAAATAAAAAAATTGTATAGTATAAACATTATATTTATGCAAATTAATGTCAACTATAAATTCTATTTAACGTACCGATGTACGTGAAAGAAAAGAAGAACAATAAATATCTACCAAAATTTATCAGTCAAATTATATAACATAAAAAAGAAAAAAATTAGAAAATTAATCAACCAACAAGAAGAAAATTTATAACTAATCAAACTCAATAAACTCGATAAAAAGATCGAGAACGTCGAGAAGTCGATAACTTTCGTAAAAGGATCGAAAAACAAAATAAAAAGTTGTCAGTATATATGTAAACAAAAATATGAAAACCCTAATATCCAAAACTTATGGTACATCCCATAATCTAATTACCGGTGAACAAACCCTAATCACAACTAATTAACGAACCCAAATTTATTTATTACCTGGGAGCTTGACAAGAGCGAAATGCAACTCTTGATCGATCCGAAAAGACCATAACTGAACCACATCCCCGGGTTCAAGACGATTCCTCTCGACAATGTGTCTCCATTTTCCGTTTATTACGTAACTGGAACACGTATTCTTGCCGTTACCCTTTTTCATATCCCATCTGCTCAGCTTCACTTTCTCTCGTCGCAACGAGGGCTCGATAATCGTGACGTCTTTGAACTTCATCTTGTTGTTGCGGTCGCGTGTCGTGAGGAAACGAGCCTCCTCTTCCGTCAAGAACCCGTGATCGCGAACCCGTGTGAAAGGGATTGAAAGTCTGTTATTTCCGGCAGCTAAATCCGTTTCGAACAATCCCTTTTGGATAACCAGCTTCATCTCCGCCTCCTCGGATATATTTTTGCCACTCCCGATTTCTTGGATCGTCTTCTTGAATTCTTCCGGAAGGGGAGGCGGTGTCGGGGGCCCGTTCCCGATGGCTTCCTTTTTCTTCTTCAGATTATCTGACGACTTCCTTTTCTTCGCCTTCTTGTCGGAATATTCTTGTTCTTCTTTATCTTCGACTTTGGAATGATCGGCGGTTTCTATTACAGGCTTGTTTATGATTTCTTCTCTTTTGGTTCTTGGCCGCCGAGGAGGGTTAAAGGGGAATGATGACATGTTGGATTTTGATTGGGTCTGCTGCTCTGCTTCGATTAAATCCTCCTGTGATTTTTGGAAGGCCACTTCAACCAAAGCGTTAAATAGTTTGCACTTCTCGCACAACATCTTCTTCTTAATTCTCTCGCCTTATGTCAATACTTCCAGTTGAAAAAGAAAAAGAAAATATTGTGAAAGTTGGAATATGTGTTTGATGAAGGGAAGACCTATACGTATATACATACATATATATAGAGAGAGAGAGATGGTGGGGTTTAAGTGGTTTCCAAGCTTGTATGGAACTAGGATTTTTCTTTTATAATTCATGCAAGTTATGAATCTTTGTTGTGTCCGGATTTGCTGTGGGATTGTTTCCTATTTGAATTATAATTTATCTTAAATTTGAACAATTGTGTGTTAGTTTATTATTTTTTTCATATACCACCACCCGCCAGCTAGGCAGACATGTACGCACAGGGAAAATGTTTTTCCGATACAGTGGTGTAAGAAGGGCGCCATTGGACTGTGCGAACAATGATTTTTTTTTTTTTTTGGTTTTTTGGTTTATTTTATTGGGCATATTACAAATAAGCCCATCAGTGGGAACTTATTCATAAAGAGATCCAGACAATATTCTCCTTTACCAATAAGTCCACACATGGTCCAGATTTATGTAAAGGACTAAAATAACCCCTCTTACTTTTATATGCTCCAATTTCATCCTTAACTTAATTTAACTTCAATTTGACCCCAAATTTCACAAATTATTCAATTTTGACCCAAAACTTTTTTTTTTTCACAAAATTTTTTTTTTCAAAAAACTTTTTTTTTCCGCCGGATTCCGGCGTTGACTTTTTTTTTTTTTTTTTTTTTTTTCTTCCGGATTTTTTTTTTCGGATTCCGGCGTTGACCGGCGGTCAACGCCGGTTTCCAGCGTTGACTTTTAAATTTTTTTTTTTTTTTTTTTTTTTTTTTTTTTTTTTTTTTTCTTCACCGGCGGTAAACACCGGTCTCCGGCGTTGACTTTTTTTAATTTTTTGTATTTTATTTTTTTTTTAATTTTTTTTTCTGTAACTTTTTTTTCCGTTTAAACAACAATATTGCTTTGAATGACAGTAATATTAACTATATTACTGTTAAACACAGTAAAAATAACTAAACTATAGTTTAACACAGTGAAATTGCTATATTAATCTCTAGCACATTAATATTAACACAACAAAATTCATTATTATTGTATAATAAAGTAATATTACTATGTTGTCCGTTCAACAAATGTAAACAAAATAAAAAAAACCAAAAGAATTAATATTACTGTGAGTGACAGTAATATTACTATAGCAACAGTAATATTACTATAGCAACAGTAATATTACAATAGTAGACAGTAATATTATTACGTTACTCCGTGAATAACTCAAACAAACAAAATATCCAAACAAAAGAATAATATTGATGTGGTTGACAGGAATATTACTATAACAAACAGTAATATTACCGTCAACCACAGTAATATTATTGTGTTTACAGTAATATTACAATAATAGACAGTAATATTAATACAAACACCACAAAAAAATAATAATATTGATGTTGTTGACAGTAATATTATTGTGTTTACAGTTATTTTACTGTCAACGACAGTAATATAATTACGTTGACTTGTCAACAAATCAAAAAAAAATAAAAAAAAATAATAATAAATAAAAAAATATAATATTGCATTAATTTACTGTCAACGGCAACACAATTACATAAATGTAATGTCAACGGCAGTACAATTACGTTAATTAACTATCATTGACAGTATAATTACGTTAATTTACTGTCAGTGACAGCACAATTACGGTCAACGTTTAGCGGCGGACGTGGAAAAACAAAACAAACCAAACAAAACAAAACAAAAAACTTAAAAAAACACTAAAAAAAGAGACCGCCGGAAACCGGCGAAAAAATCCGGAAGAAAAGAAAAGAAAAAAAAAAAAGAAAAAAGCAAAAAAAAAAAAAAAAAAAAAAAAAAAAAGTCAACGCCGGAGACCGGCGTTGACCGCCGGTCAACGCTGGAAACCGGCGAAAAAATCCGGAAGAAAGAAAAAAACAAAAAAAAAAAAAAAATTTAAAAAAGTCAACGCCGGAGACCGGCGTTGACCGCCGGTCAACGCCGGAATCCGGCGGCAAAAAAAAAGTTTTTGAAAAAAAAATAATTTGTGAAATTTGGGGTAAAATTGAGATTAAATTAAGTTAAGGATGAAATTGGAGCATATTAAATTATACTCCAAAAAAAAGTCACGATTGAATTTTTGTGGTCAAAATTGAACTTTTATGGACAAAATTGATTAATTTGGATTACAATTAAGAATTGGGTATAAATGGTTGAGGGTAATATTGGGATATACATGAATGTTTCCTTTAGTTATAATAAATATTAAAGGGATGGGCTTATTGGTAAAAGAGATATGTCCCCTAAACCTAGAATAATAAACATGCTTGGTTGGGGACTTTTGCATAAAAATCCCTATTTTATTCTTTTATTTAACACATAAACAAAAATAAAAGGTAATTTAAATATTATCAAAGAAACCAACGTAATTCAATTTGGGCGAAGGCGAAAAGGCCCATCACATGGGACTTAAATGCATTTTGGTCCAAAAAAAAAAAAACAGTCTCTCAATTAAACCCATCCCCTTGTCTTTAGTCTAAAATACCCTCAATAATATAATTCTTATCAATTCCACCGATTATGCTCTAACTTCCTTAATATTACACATTGACCCCGGATTTAAAAAAATATATCACATTAACCCCTAAAACTTTTTTTTTCCAGAAAATAATTTTTTTTCTGAAATGTTTTTTTTCCGGCCAGATTCCGGCGTTGACCGCCGGAGACCACCGGTCTCTGGCGTTGACTTTTTTTTTTTTTTTTTTTAGAAAACTTTTTTTTTCCCGAAATTTTTTTCCGGCCGGTCAACCAGCGTTGACCGCCGGTCTCCGGCGTTGACTTTTTTTTTTTTTAATTTTTTTTTCTTAGAAAAAAAATATTTTAATTAATATTACTGTTTTGGCTACTAAATTACTGTCTCAGACAGTAATATTACTGTTTGGGATAGTAATATTATGAATATTATTTTCCCGAACAGTAATTTTATTAATATTATCGTCTAAGACAATTAAATTACTGTTGGAGACATTAATTTAGCATCCAAGGCAGTAATATTAATTAAAATATTTTTTTTAAGAAAAAAAAAAGTCAATTAACAGTTAAATTACTGTCTCTGACAGTTAAATAACTGTTGGAGACAGTAATTTAGCAACAAATACAGTAATATTATTTTTTTAAGAATAAAAAGTCAATTAACACTTAAATTACTGTCTCCAACAGTTAAATAACTGCTGGAGACAGTAATTTAGCAACGAATACAATAATATTAATTAAAAATATTTTTTTAAGAATAAAAAAGTTAATTAACAGTTAAATTACTGTCTCCAACAGTTAAATAACTGCTGGAGACAGTAATTTAGCAACAAATGCAGTAATATTAATTAAAATATTTTTGAAGGAAAAAAAAAAGTCAATTAACAGTTAAATTACTGTCTCCGACATATAAATAACTGCCGGAGACAGTAATTTAACTGATAAGCCAAATTATTAGCAACTTCTGCAAAAGCCATACACAATTTTTTTTATTGCTTCTTGAATTTGGAGTCTGTGATAACTGATAAGCTTTTGAATATTAAAACATTTTTCTTTTTTCTATTTTTAAATATTATATATGTGTATATAATATATAATATATATAATTAATTTATTAAAAATTTAAAATTAAAATTATTTTTTAGTTTATGATTTTATATATGTTTTATTAGTTGAAAGGGCTACTTTTTTAAAATATTGAGTTTTAGTTTTTAATTTTGGATTATTATTAAAGAGTATTTATTATTAGTATTTTTATAAGAAATTAAATATATATATATAAATATGTAAAAAGTCAATTAATGGTTAAATCACTGTCTCCAACAGTTAAATAACTGTGCTGGAGACAGTAATTTAACAACGAATACAGTAATATTAATTAAAATATTTTTGAAGAAAAAAAAGTCAATTAATGGTTAAACTACTGTCTCCGACAGTTAAATAACTGCCGGAGACAGTAATTTAGCAACCAAGACAGTAATATTAATTAAAAAAAATTTAAGAAAAACAAATATTAAAAAAAAAAAAGTCAACGCCGGAATCTGGCCGGAAAAAAAAATATTTCGGAAAAAAAATTATTTTCTGAAAAAAAAAAGTTTTGGGGGTTAATGTGATATATTTGTTGAAATCTGGGGTCAATGTGTAATATTAAAGAAGTTAGAGCATAATGTGTGGAATTGATAAGAATTAGGGTTAAAACTGGGGTCAAAATTGAAATTAGGGTTAAAATTGGTTAATTGATGAAATTGGGCTAAATTGGGGGGTAAATCATGAAATTGGAGTTGAATTGAGTTTCAATGAATTGCGGGTAATTTTGGTATATATAAAAGGATTTTCCTTATTTGCAAATAAGTTTGAATGGGTTGGATTTATTTGAAAGACAAAAAAATTGAATGTCCCTCTTTTAATTAAGTGCCCTTGTCATGGGCCTATTTGCCATTACCCCTTAATCTCATTTTGCACCATTGAAATATACTTTTTTGACACTTTGCACCCTCGAAAAAATAATATAGTACTTTGCACTCTCGAAACACAATGAATCTCAAATGAATTTTAAAGTTAATGAAGGTAATTTAATATTTTTATTGGTATTTTTTAGGAAGCCAAATGTCAAATACTTTTTTTTTTATTCATCAGCCTTTCAAAATTGCAAAGTGCAAAAATATAAATACATCTCATTAACATATTAAATAAAATCCCAATAAATATTTAAAAAAAAAATATCCTTCTATTTAGGTATCAAGTTATTTAAAAATTTGATTTTCTTCCAAAGGTCTCTACCAATATTTTTACTAATTAAACTAAAAAATCCATCAATGGAAAAATTTAGTGAGATTTTTTTCTTTGTAAGAAATGTAGTTTTTTCAGTAATTCTTTGTGATTTTTGTTTTTTCGCCTTTTGTACGATTGAAATGTTAGGGGTGCAAGAAAATAATAA